ATACAAAACTCCCAAAGAGGAGGGGGCCCCAAGAGGATTGCCTGCATTTAATATTTTAAAGACTTGTAGTTGTTACAACTTAACTGACAGAAATAGTAAGGAATCTTTCTTTCTTTTTATTCTTTCATAGGTATAGGATATTCCCAGGTTGTTGGGGAAAGTGAAGAAAGGATTTTTGCTTTTGGCTTGAAAGGAATATATGATTTTTGTTTGTTTTTTACATAAATTTGCTTTTTGAAATTACCATTTTTTAAAAATAATTTTGGTGTGGTTTTGGCATAAATTATATGGAAATCATCCTAATTTTAGATTAGAAAAATTTACCATTAGAGCTTTTCCGAATATGGATAGTAAATGAACAGTAGTGATACTGTACCTGTTATACATCTGTTTTATCAGTTTCATAACATATTCTTGAATAGTATAGTTTCATAACATATCCTCGAATAGTATAATATGACTAATGAAAACAAACAGATTGGTTTTTCTGCTTTAAATTGGATTAGGCTGAAATATTCTTATAAAAGTTACATTCTTATAGAAGTTCTACCCATATTCAAAATTTCGTGCCCTTTTCCTGTGTCCTGAAAAGTTGGCACAGACTTGGGAAGAAATTTGCAGTTTCCTGACGAGGTCTTTCCTTGTCAGTAGTGACCTCATGTTGCAGCCTGCTTCCATTTAGACTACAGTTCTAATAATTGCTCAGCAGTTTTTATAAGCCCATCACCATCCTTCATGGTGTTTGAAGTCTCTTTATCTGCTGTTACTTGTTGGGAGATGCATTGGATTCATAATGGCTTGCAGAGCTCTGTTGCACACGTAAAATGATCTTATCAGATTTAATTGAAGCAGAGTTGCAGTACTGTTACTGAAGTGTTATTTGTAACATCAAATAGTTGTCATTGGGAGATTGAAATAATAGTATTTCCCTATGATTACTGTATTTGAATTACAAAATCTTACAATTGGAATAAATGGCTGCAAGATTGATTTTATGTAATGTTCTCTAGAAGATTATGTGATGGTAGGCAGATTTAAAAGTAGAGTTAACAGAATGGAGAAAAAGGTCAGAGAATGACTATAAACTTTAAACATTATACTTGACTGAGGACTTTAAAATATGCATGACCCTTGTACTTTATTGTTGGTTCTCTTTGTCTTCTTCCAGGGGGGTTTAGTGAAAACAGTTAGCATAAACATGGTCTTTATGGCATTTGTCTATATAGTATGTAAGTAATTTGACCTTAAATTTGTCAGCAACTGTTTTTTTTTGTTTTTTTTTGAAGATTTTATTTATTTGACAGAGAGATCACAAGTAGGTAGAGAGGCAGGCAGAGGGAGAGGAGGAAGCAGGCTCCCTGCTGAGCAGAGAGCCTGATGTCAGACTTGATCCCAGGACCCTGAGACCATGACCTGAGCCCAAGGCAGAGGCTTAACCACTGAGCCACCCAGGCTCCCCAGAAGTATTTTTCTTACGTCTTTATTAATCAGAACTCATATCCTTATGATACCTATGCTATTTTGTTGCTGATACAAATGGCATAACTGTATTGACAAATAGTTTTTACAGGTAAGTATTAGCCATGGTTTGTGCATAAGTGCTTTTTTACCCAAGGAAATTGACTATATTCTGAAAATACAGAATAATTAAATTCTTTGAAAACCAGATCAGTCCTTTGTCCTTTCCAAGCTCAGAGAATGAAGTTGTACAGTCAGCTTTGTAGTATGAATGAAAATCTGACTTAAAAGTACAAAATCTATTTATTTGATTTATTTACTATAGCTTGTTGGGGTGGGAAGAATATTATTGAAAGGAACTGTTTATTTGATTGTCGCTGCATATTTTTTGGAGCTAAGGGACCTTTACTTTACAATATTAAGGGACCTTTACAATATTATTAAAAAGGGGTAGAAATCAAAAAGATTAATTCCTCTGCCTATCCATCCAATATAAGATTGGTAGAACTTTTCCTCTTTTTGGCTCTTTTGGATAACTGGAACATTTTATGAAAATTTAGTCATTTTGAAAGGTGGAAATATATCTAGCAACTTTAACTTCTTTAACTTATTAGTATGGGTAAGAGTTATCACTAGTGCTGATAAAAAAATGGTACTTTTGGGGCCTACCTCAGAGATTTAGGGAGGGCCCCAGAAATCTATTCTTTAAAAGCTTTTTAAGGGGCGCCTGGGTGGCTCAGTGGGTTGGGCCGCTGCCTTCGGCTCGGGTCATGATCTCAGAGTCCTGGGATCGAGCCCCGCATCGGGCTCTCTGCTCAGCGGGGAGCCTGCTTCCTCCTCTCTCTCTGCCTGCCTCTCTGCCTGCTTGTGATCTCTCTCTGTCAAATAAATAAATGAAATCTTTTTTTAAAAAAAATAAATAAATAAAAATAAAATAAAAGCTTTTTAAAAAAATGGAAAATAAGTCATACATGCAGAAATAGGCATAAAACAAATGTATAGCAAAACCAAGTTAGTCAAAGCATCTGTCTACATGTATAACCGCCAACTAGATCTAGAAGTAAACACTGATAGTACCCCAGTAAGTCTCAGAATCCTGATCTCCACCCACCCCCCAACTAAAGGAAACCACTGTGTTGACTTTTTTTTGTCAATACATAGCCTTTTAAAACATTTTTTTCTTATTATTTAAATTCAGTTGACATATAGTATATTATTAGTTTCAGAGGTAGGGTTCAGTGATTGATCAGTTGTATTTAATACCCAGTGCTCATTACATCATGTGCCCTCTTTAATGTTCATCATCCAGTTACCCCATTGCCCAGTGCCCCTCCCGTTGAGCAACCCTCAGTTTGTTTCCAGTGACTAGGAGTCTCTTATGGTTTGTCTTCCTCTGATTTTATCTTGTTTTATTTTTCCCCCTCTTCCCATATGCTCCTCTGTTTTGTTTCTTAAATTCCACACATGAATGAAATCATATGATAATTATCTTTCTTTGATTGACTTATTTTGCTTAGTATAATATCCTCCAGTTTCATTTGCATTGTTGCAAATGATAAGGTTGCCTTTTTTAAAATTAAATAGAAAAAATTTTAAAAGATATTATTTATTTGAGATAGAGTGAGAAAGCATGAGTTGGGGGGAGGGGCAGAGGGAGAGGAAGAAGCAGGTTTTCCACTGAGCGGGGAGCCTAATGTGGGGCTCAATCCTAGGATCCTGGGATCACGACCCAAGTTGAAGGCAGACGCTTAACCTTAACACTGAGCCACCCAGGCACCCCTGCATATATACCTCTTAAGAAGCACAGTCAAGGGGCGCCTGGGTGGCTCAGTGGGTTAAAGCCTCTACCTTCAGCTCGGGTCATGATCCCAGGGTCCTGGGATCGAGCCCTGCATTGGCTCTCTGCTCAGAGGGGAGCCTGCTTCACCCACTTCTCTCTCTGCCTGCCTCTCTGCCTACTTGTGATATCTGTCAAATAAATAAATAAAAATCTTAAAAAAAAAAAAAAAAGCACAGTCAAGACAGACTATTTCCATCACCCAACAGTTGGGCCCCAGACTGCCACTGATCTGCTTTCTGTCATTGTATAGATAAGGTTAGCCTGTTTTACAATTTCATGTAAATGGAGTCTCCTACAGTAGGTAGTCTTTTGTGTCTGGCATCTCTGCTTGGCATAAGGTTGAGATGCATGTTGTTGCATGTTTCAGATGTTTGTGCCATTTATTTATTTATTTTAAAAATATTTATTTATTTTTAAAATTTTGTTTATTTATTTGACAGCACAAGCAGAACATCAGAGGGAGAGGGAGAGGCAGGCTCTTGGCCGATCAGGGCCCATTGTGGGGCATGATCCAGTACCCTTGGATCATGACCCAGGCGCTTAAGCAACTGAGCCGCCCAGGCGCCTCTTTGTGCCTTTTATTTAAAAAAATACTGAGCGTGTTCCTTTGTAAGGGATGTCCCACACCTTGTGTCTGCTTTCACCTGTTTGGGTTGATACCTTTGTTTGGCTGTTGTGAATAAAGCCTCTGTGTTTGTGCAAGTCTTCCAGTGGAATTAAGCTTTCACTTCTCTTGAGTAAATACCCAGGAGTACAATTGCTGGCTCATTTGCTAGGTTTTTTAGGGAAGTGCTAAACTGGTTTCCAAAGTGATTGGGACATTTTAAATTTCCAGCGTCAGTATAGGAAAGTTCTAGTTGCTTCACATCCTTATCTTACCAGCCGTTTGATTTTACTTTTAAACATTTTAGTGGTATCCACATCTTGTTGTGGGTTTCAGTTAAACTTTTAACTATGGTAAAAATGAGGATGTTACCTATATTTTTATAATTATCAGTAGATACCGTGGTGCAGAATTTGCTAAGGAAGGCCTATTAATGGTACAGTGAATGAAGTAGTATGATTTTAGTATCGATTTTGCCTTTTTTGTAACTTGAGAACATCCTCTAGTAGTAGCATATTGCTTTTACTTCTGGGAAGGAATACAGAGTATGCATTGAGCCCTTATACTATCCTAGATGAGGTTGTTTTGTTGGGGGTAGTAGTCTACATTTTTCCCTTGAGTCTTGGAATATAGGTCACTGTTTCTCCAAGTGAGCACCAAATGAAGTAGTTGGCGACACACACACACACACACACACACGGGTATGTATATTTATTTTTTTGTGTGAAAAATAATTTTTTAAAAAAGATTTTATTTATTCATTTGAGAGAGAGAATGAGAGAGAGTGTGAGAGGGAGGAGGCTGGTCAGAGGGAGAAGCAGACTCCCCACCAAGCAGGGAGCCTGATAATGGGACTCAATCCCAGGACTCCAGGATGATAACCTGAGCCAGTGGCAGTTGCTTAACCAACTGAGCCACCTGGGCATCCCCCAAAATAAATTTTTTAGAAAATTAGAATCCTATTCTGCCAGAAACGAACCTAAAACGTGTTTGTTCCCCTGATTGTGTCACGGTAGTGCACCTGTGGCAGTTTTCAACACTTTTTATAGTTACTTAGTACTGAAAAGTTTTATGCCTAATGTCTTTCTTTGATTACAGTGCCCATTTATCTCCCATCAGCATCTTACCAGCCTCTGCAGAGTAAGTAATATACTTGCAGAAGACCATTTATTTTTTAAATTTAAAAATATTACTTCACTGTAGAAATAAAAATCATGTATTTATTAAATAAAAACATGTTTAAAAATTGTGAATTTATTGTGCTTACCTTAGGGGAAGGATTGTACATAAGGGAGTGAAACTAGTTAATATTTTTATGTACTGCAATAGGAACAAATGAAGAAGGAATGCATTGCCTAATACATAAAATAAAGATTGAACTTTCTTCAGATGATTTTTTTGGTCTGAAATGATTGAGAAATGTCATAGATCTTTTTTTATTAAGTTTTCTTTGAGAAATAAACTTCATGTAACAAATGTTGACAGGACCCCTAGAGTTTCTTTGATTTAGCTGAATTAGCAAATTATTTTGCTTTATACATGTAGCTTTAAAAAATCTGTTTAAATGGTTTTTCTATAGAGGAGCAAGAAACGAATTACTGGGACAACTGATCTTTCCTACCTTAGTAGTAGTAGTGATACGATTGATTTGTATGATAATTTCTTTTAAAAATTTAATCCATTATCATGTATTCCTTTTATGTGTTTTTTTTTACTCTGGTTTACCCATTTAGATACCTTGATAATTTGTTTTATTATTCACGTTTTAACATTTGTAATTATGTGGCCAAATATGCAGTTAGGGTGACTGCTTCTCACTAACATGTGTTCTGTTTTATAGCATTTTAGAAAGAACAATTAGAGCAGCTGTGGAACAGCACCTTTTTGATCTGCAGAGCAGCATAGATCATGATCTTAAGAATTTACAACAGCAGAGTCTGGTGTGTAATAATGAAGCAGAAAGTTTTAATTGTGATGGTGAAGGATCTAATAACCAGTAAGAAACTTTTTATAATGTTTCACTATTATTTTTCAGAAATATAAAATTGTTTTAATTGTTTTATCTTTTAAAAACCATAATTTACTTAAATAATGGGATCTCGGGGATTTCTGAAAATGTGGAAAGTGTGGAAAGTGACTTTGTATATATGTTGCATATATTCACTTAACATTGGAAATCTAAATCATCCATTACTGTAGTAGACATTAAATCCAGTACTGCCAGGTTTTCCTTCCTGAACATCAGTTGAAGTAGTGAACTTACCTCACTATGTTGTATGAAGAATAACATTAAAAATATGATACTCATACTGTGTGCCACACATGGTCACACCATGAGAGAGACATGAAATGGTCTAGACAGTAGGTGCAGGGAGAACAGATTGGCATCACTCATGTTGCATTTACTCATTGAGTGAAACGGTGAACAGAATCATCCTTTGCTATTAAATTTTATGCCAGCTACTACCCTGCTGCCCTCCCTATGTACTTTTTTTTGTAATAGTTTAGCTGTTAATAGTTGAATTTTGTATTAGTTAAAAGTACCTATGTGTGCTTTGTGATTTGTGATTTTCTTCCACTCTTCATCTGACTTGTTACCTTTAAGTGGATGAAAGGCCTTATCTCCTTTCCTGTTACCTCAGCCCTGCACTTGAGGGTAGGTGCCTTTCTTTGAGACCATAATACAGTGATTTTATAGTATTTAGTTACCAGATTTTATTTGGAGGACAGATGAGAAAGATGGATCCAAGTTTGGAGGATTCATAGGAGGTTAAAAAAAAAAGATTATTGTGTAAAGCGTTTTTTCCTTTTTTTTTTTTTGAAGAGTCAGATTTTTTTTTTAAAGGCCAAGTTTGTGTAGTACACTAGAATAGCTATTAAATATGAACTGAAACTGAAAACATTAATGGATCTGAAAACCAGTGGTTGCTATATGTTTATTTTAGGAATACCATATTGTAAAGCTGCAGTTGTGCTGTATATCTGAATAGATAGATGGCAGCACTAGCCTGTGCAGCTCTATGGCCCTGATTTGTAGTGCTTTGAAGGCATGATTATAACTGATAAAACTGGGTTAACATAGGGACTATTTGGGCTGAATATGAAGGAAAAAAGCAGCATCTGGAAAAAAAATAATAATGTAACTAGAAGTTGGAAATTGTGGAGAACTGTTTCAAAGGTTATAATTAATATACATAGATTCCTTGGTGTTTGTCTTTAGCTTAGCTACAGATCCTGAAACCCATGCCCATGCTCAATCTTATTTTTAATCTCTGGGAAGTAACTCATGTTCCTTCATTGATGGTGGTATTGTCTCTGTAAACAAAAGCCTGCTGCAGTATTTTGCATATTCTAAATTATGTAACATGAAAAATCTGAAGTAGGAAGCTATTCCTATCATGCTTAATAAAGTGTTGGACATTATCATGTCTAGTGCTAGACTTGTATTTTAATTGGAACAGTTCATTATAATTGAGAGTATGCATTTGTAAGGGAAATTATTTTGATACATAAATTATTCTTTCAGCCATTCATTTGTTTTTGAAAATTTTCAGAGAGAATAACAAAGTAGTTTGAATTCCTAGAGAGACAAAGATAAACTGAGTGTGTTTAATAATCTAATTTGGCAAAAGAAAGAAAGTGTGAAGTTTTATGAAAAGGACACATTTTCTTTAATAAGTGAAAGTTTCAGATCATTATTGATACTTATTTATTTAAAAGACATTACATATTTAACATATGACCTGATCCAGTTTTTTAATCTTCATTACTAGGGTTGATATTGCTGATGATATTATTAATGCCAGTGAAAGTAACAGAGACTGTTCAGAACCTGTGGCTAGTACTAATTTAGACAATGAAGTTATGCAGCAAGATTTTGTATTTGAGGATGAAGAAAATAACCAGGTAAGAAATGCAAAGACTAAAATCTTTGTTTTAGGTTTGCTTGATGTACAATGCTGATTGCTTTATGTGTTCCTTTTTTTAAAATTTTATTTTATTTATTTATTTGACAGAGATCACAAGTAGGCAGAGAGGCAGGCAGAGAGAGAGAGAGGAGGAAGCAGGCTTCCTGCTGAACAGAGAGCCCGAAGCGGGGCTTGATTCCAGGACCCAGGGATCGTGACCTGAGCCAAAGGCAGAGGCTTTAACCCACTGAGCCACCCCCTTATATGTTCCTTTGGTATTAGAAGCTGACACATACTTGTCTTGATAATAAATCCTGAGAGCATACATCCTATTAGTAAAGATCAGGAACCATCACTGGATTGGGAATTAGATATAAAATATTTAAGAATATTTGCCTGGAAGGAAACAAATTATGATGTTAGCTGAGGTTGTTGGTAGTATTATGGTTGAATTTCATTCATTTTAAAAGTTTTTCTCCTATTTCCCAATTTTTTCTGAAGAACGCTATCCTAGGAAAAAAAAAATCAAAATTCAAAGTATGGTTTCTGCTGACTGTGTGTTGCTTTTGCACCATTGGAAAGCTGAAAAATTCAAAGTCAAATCATTGGATGTCAGGGACTGTCTGTTTATGATTTGCAAGTTTCTCTAAAATGGACTTTTCATTTTGTTGATGGTTCCTTTGCAGAATTTTTTTTTTGTTTTATTACTATTTTTTATTTTAGCTGTTCTTTTTTTAAACTTTTTATTAACATGTAATGTATTATTTGCCCCAGGGATACAGGTCTGTGAATAGTCAAGCTTACACACTTCGCAGCACTCCCCATAGCACATACCCTCCCCAATGTCCATAACCCAACCACCCTCTCCATACCCCACTCCCCCTGTCAACACTCAGTTTGTTTTGTAAGATTAAGAGTCTTTTATGGTTTGTCTCCCTCACGATCCCATCTTATTTCATTTTTTTCTTTCCTACCCCCCAAAACCTCCACTTTGCCTCTCAAATTCCTCATATCAGGGAGATCATATGATAATTGTCTTTCTCTGATTGACCTCTGTTGCTCAGCATAATACCCTCTAGTTCCATCCATGTCTTGCAAATGGCAGCATTTCATTTCTTTTGATGGCTGCATAGTATTCCTGTGTGTGTGTGTGTGTGTGTGTGTGTGTGTGTGTGTGTACCACATCTTCTTTATCCATTCATCTTTTGATGGACATCTAGGTTCTTTCCATAGTTTGACTATTGTGGACATTGCTGCTATAAACATTTGGGTGCACATGCCCCTTCGGGTCATTACATTTGTATCTTTAGGGTAAATATCTAGTAGTGTGATTGCTGGGTGGTAGGGTAGCTCTAGTTCCAACTTTTTGAGGAACCTCCATGCTGTTTTCCAGAGTGGTTGCACCAGCTTGCATTCCCACCAACAGTGTAGGAGGGTTTCCCTTTCTCCTCATCCTTGCCAGCATCTGTCATTTCCTGACTGGTTAATTTTAGCCATTATGACTGGCGTGAGGTGGTATCTCATTGTGGTTTTGATTTGTATTTCCCTGATGCCAAGTGATATGGAGCACTTTTTCATGTGTCTGTTGGCCATCTGGATGTCTTTGCAGAAATGTGTGTTGATGTCCTCTTCCCATTTCTTGATTGGATTATTTGTTCTTTGGGTATTGAGTTTGATTAAGTTCTTTATAGATTTTGGATACTAGCCCTTTATCTGATACATCACTTGCGAATATCTTCTCCCATTCTGTCAGTTGTCTTTTGGTTTTGTTGACTGTTTCCTTTGCTGTGCAAAAGCCTTTGATCTTGATGAAGTCCCAATAGTTCATTTTTGCCCTTGCTTCCCTTGCCTTTGGTGATGTTTCTAGGAAGAAGTTGCTGTGGCTGAGGTCGAAGAGGTTGCTGCCTGTGTTCTCCTCAAGGATTTTGATGGATTCCTGTCTCACATTGAGGTCTTTTATCCATTTTGAGTCTCAAATTTTTGTGTGTGGTATAAGGAAATGGTCCAGTTTAATTCTTCTGCATGTGGCTGTCCCATTTTCCCAACACCATTTGTTGAAGAGACTGTCTTTTTTTCCATTGGACATTGTATCCTGCTTTGTCAAAGATTAGTTGACCATGGAGTTGAGAGTCATTTCTGGGCTCTCTATTCTGTTTCATTGATCTGTGTGTCTGTTTTTGTGCCAGTACCGTATTGTCTTGATGATGACAGCTTTGTAATAGAGCTTGAAGTCTGGAATTGTGATGCCACCAACTTTGGCTTTCTTTTTCAACATTCCTCTGGCTATTAAGGGTCTTTTCTGGTTCCATATAAATTTTAGGATTATTTGTTCCATTTCTTTGAAAGAACTTGATGGTATTTTGATAGGGATTACATTAAACGTGTAGATTGCTTTAGGTAGTATAGACATTTTCACAATATTTGTTCTTCCAATCCATGAGCATGGAACGTTTTTCCATTTCTTTGTGTCTTCCTCAATTTCTTTCATAAGTACTTTATAAGTTTTCTGAATATAGATTCTTTGCCTCTTTGGTTAGATTTAGATTTATTCCTAGGTATCTTATGGTTTTGTGTGCAATTGTAAATGGGATTGACTCTTAATTTCTGTTTCTTCTGTCTTGTTGGTGTATAGAAATGCAGATGATTTCTGTGCATTGATTTTATATCATGACACTTTACTGAATTCCTGTATGAGTTCTAGCAGTTTTGGAGTGGAGTCTTTTGGGTTTTCCACATAAAGTATCATATCATCTGCAAAGAGTGTCTTCTTTGCCAGTTTGGATGTCTTTCTTTTTGTTGTTGTTGTTATTGTTGTTGTTGTCTGATTGCTGAGGCTAGGACTTCATGGAACTATGTTGAATAGCGGTGGTGATAGTGGACATCCTTGCCATGTTCCTGACCTTAGCAGAAAAGCTCTCAGTTTTTCCTCCATTGAGAATGATACTTGCAGTGGGTTTTTCATAGATGGCTTTGATGATATTGAGGTATGTACCCTCTATCCCTACACTTTGAAGAGTTTTGATCAAGAAAGGATGCTGTACTTTGTCAAATGCTTTTTCAGCATCTGTTGAGAAGATCATAGGGTTCTTGTTCTTTGTTTTATTAATGCATTGTATCACACTGATTGATTTGCGGATGTTGAACCAACCGTGCAGCCCTGGAATAAATCCCACTTGGTCGTGGTGAATAATCCTTTTAATGTACTATTGGATCCTATTGGCTAGTATTTTGGTGAGAATTTTCACATCTGTTTTCATCAAGGATATTGGTCTGTAATTCTCCTCTATGATGGGATCTTTGTCTGGTTTTGGGATCAAGGTAATGCTGGCCTCGTAAAATGAGTTTGGAAGTTTTCCTTCCATTTCTATTTTTTGGAAGTTTCCAGAGAATAGGAATTAATTCTTCTTTAAATGCTTGGTAGAATTCCCCTGGGAAGCTGTCTGGCCCTGGGCTCTTGTTTGTTGGGAGATTTTTGATGACTGCTTCAATCTCCTTAATTGTTATGGGTCTGTTCAGGTTTTCTATTTCATCCTGGTTCAGTTGTAGTAGTTTATATGTCTCTAGGAATGCATCCATTTCTTCCAGATTGTCAAATTTCGTGGCATATAGTTGCTCATAGTATGTTCTTATAATTGTTTCTCTTTGGTGTTGGTTGTGATCTCTCCTCTTTCATTCATGATTTTATTTATTTGGGTCCTTTCTCTTTTCTTTTTGATAATTCTGGCCAGGGGTTTATCAATCTTATTAATTCTTTCAAAGAACCGGCTCCTAGTTTCGTTGATTTGTTCTGTTGATTTTTTGGTTTCTGTTTCATTGATGTCTGTTCTGATCTTTATTATTTCTCTTCTCCTGCTGGGTTTAGGCTTTCTTTGTTCTTTCTCTAGCTCCTTTAGGTGTAGGGTTAGGTTGTGTATTTGAGACCTTTCTTGTTTCTTGAGGAAGGCTTGCATCGCTATATATTTTCCTCTCAGGACTGCCTTTGCTTTGTCCCACAGATTTTGAACAGTCATGTTTTCATTCTCATTTGTTTCCATGAATTTTTTCACTTCTTCTTTAATTTCCTGGTTGACCCATTCATTCTTTAGTAGGATGCTCCTTAGCCTCCATGTATTTGAGTTCTTTCCAAATTTCCTCTTGTGATTGAGTTCTAGCTTCAGATCTGAAAATATATAGGGAATGATCCCAATCTTTTGGTACCCGTCGAGACCTGATTTGTGACCCAGGATGTGATCTATTCTGGAGAATGTTCCATGTGCAATAGAGAAGAATGTGTATTCTGTTGCTTTGGGATGGAATGTTCTGAATATATCTGTGATGTCCATCTGGTCCAGTATGTCATTTAAGGCCTTTATTTCCTTATTAATCTTTTGCTTGGATGATCTGTCCATTTCTGTAAGGGGGATGTTTAAGTCCCCAACTATTATTATATTATTGTCGATGTGTTTCTTTGATTTTGTTATTAATTGGCTTATATAGTTGACTGCTCCCATGTTAGGGGCATAGATATTTAAAGTTAGATCTTGTTGGACAGACCCTTTGAGTATGATATAGTGTCCTTCCTCATCTCTTATTATAGTCTTTGGCTTAAAATCTAATTTATCTGATATAAGGATTGCCATCCTAGCTTTCTTTTGATGTCCTTTAGCATGGTAAATTGTTTTCCACCCCTCTCTTGAAATCTGGAGGTGTCTTTGGGTCTACAATGAGTTTTTTGTAGACAGCATATTGATGGGTTTTGTTTTTTTAATCCATTCCAATACCCTGTGTCTTTTGATTGGGGCATTTAGCCCATTTACATTCAGGATAACTATTGAGAGAGATGAATTTAGTGTCATTGTATTGCCTATAAGGTGACTGTTAATGTATATTTTCTCTGTTCCTTTCTGGTCTACTGCTTTTAGTCTCTGTCTTTGCTTAGACGACCCCTTTCAATATTTCCTGTAGAGCTGGTTTGGTATTTACAAACTCTTTTAGTTTTTGTTTGTCTTGGAAGCTTTT